TCTACACCAGTTGGTCAAAACAGAGTGTCAAGCCGCCCCACGGAACGTACTCATTTCTGTTTAGACGCTGTAGGAAGACCATGTAATCAGTCCTGATGGAGCCGAATGGACCGGGAAATAGGAGGATATTGTTGGCTCCTAGGCCCTGACGAAGATAGTGGATCTGGATGGAAAGAACCTCCTCGTAGGCACCAAACATGTGGTTGATGTTGTGATACCTGAGGCCAATTGCAGGGGAGGGAGGAGATGCGACGTTGCTGAAACTGCCGACGAAAGGACGCAGTAGTCGACTACAGACGAGCAGTCCTTGGCGTCCATTAATACGATTGGGCATAAACATGCTCTTTCGACAATGATTCAGAGAGGAGAAAATGTGGTTAGCTGTTGTAAATTGCAAACCATCGACACACATGTCACTGGTGCTGCATAAATGCAGATGTATGTTTACAATTTACCCGGAATGACGGGAGGCATCGACCTGTAATACTACTTAAGTATGATGACAATATCAGTAAAGACAAGCCCATGATTTGCCATACTTCCATGCAGGACGCACCGTATAGCCTTTCGCAACAAATCCGCCGAGATGGATGCAAAGAGCTGTGTCACTTCGAAGGAGATGTGGTTCACGAATCATCCGGCTGACTGGGCTGTCGCCTGGGGCTACAATTAGCCGAGGCAAGTGGGTGGGATTTGGGGCAATCTCTAGCATCTGCCTGGCGCTCTGCCAGTTGCTTCTTCTATTTATTGCCATTCGTCCTGCCCACACCTGTGCTGAGTAAGAAAAAGAGACCGGGCTAGATCGCAGTTAGTAGCCAGAAGTAAACAAACTCCAGCCATCTGTAATACGAGACCGGCGGTAATAGGAGTTTTTGCAGGTGCGGCCGGCGAACCCGTGGGCGAAGATGTCAAGCAATTTGTGCAAAAGAAAAGCTATTGGAAATTGAAATACTCTGAACGGTTGAGATTCAGCTGCCCTAACCCATAACCCCAACCCCAACAGTATTGTGTCCATCAGGTGGGGCTGCATAGCCAGAACTTACCAGGAGCCCAGGCGGTTGTGGATGAGAAGGAGAGACTGGGGTAGATACATTGTAAGTCTACTACTATTATAAACTAAATCACGCGCATGTCACCGCCTCTGCGACACCCTGCTGTCAGATGTACGCTCATTAGCCTTCATTAGTTAGGTCGCCTACCGTACCGACTGTCTAACTTTCGAAGTACACATTTCTACCCCTTTACAGGTGATTAAGTGCATTATTACTTGCGCCAACTTGTGAAATTTCGGAACTTGATAGGAGATGATGCCTGCAACTGGCGGATAATTAATTGCTCCTGGATGTCTTATTGTTCGCTTGTGATCCCAGTTGATCATCATCGCCGTCTTCGAGACACGATGCGATGGCCGTGGGAGTATGGCAGATACCGTTCCTGATCTATCTGATGATGAATAGTCACGAACTGCGCACTGGAGTCCCTGTAACCCACGAACAACCCACCCTGCATCCACGAAGGCCATACTGGATCCAAGAAACGATTCACCTTCAAAAGAAGGCAGAGTTGGGCTTCCGCAGTAACCCACATGATCTTCTCCCTCGTCTCCGGTCTTCTTGACTCTGTCTTGACACCGGGCCCAGGCGGGGGGGAGGGGAGTGTAGGTAGATGCTACGAAAGTCTACTGACACTATAAACCCCTGCGCAAGTCATCGTCCCTGCTCCCATCGCTGCTGTGTACAACATAATGACTGTTGTATACGAATATTACTCAAGTATGATGACAATATCAGTAAAGACATGCCCGTGATTTGCCATACTTCCATGCAGGACGCACCGTATAGCCTTGCGCACCAAATGCGGTGAGATGGATGCAAAGAGCAGTGTCACGTCGAAGAACATTATCGCCTCTTGAAGCTCCACTTTGGCTCGCAGGAATTATTGAGAAGTTGAGATGAAGATTTTACTGACTTCCCGGCTGACTGGGCTGCCGCCTAGGGCTACGAGTAGTCGAGGCAAAAGGTGGGATTTGTGGATTTGGGTAACCCCTAGCATCTGGCTGGCGCTCTGCCAGTTGGCTCGATTTAATTTCATTTGCCCTG